CATTCTCTTCAATTCCAACACCAAGGCCCCATCTGACAGCAGGTTCAGATCATGACCCCAGCCCCAAGGAAATCTAGAACACGTGGGCCTCTCCAGGCTACAAGAATCCTGCCAGGCTCTGGATGTCAGTGCAGGTGTTTTTTTGGTTTTGGTTTTGGTTTTTGTTTTTCTGTTTTGTTTTGTTTTGTTTTATACTGAGGGCTGGGCCACAGGGCCACAAGACTGTAGGTAGGCAGGAAAGGCAGACTCACCTCCCAGAGTGAACCCTCCTCTCGAAGCACAGCCACCAGCATGCCAGCTGGGATCATGAGGCAGGAGAGCAGGCCCATCAGAATGCCTAGCAGTTCGGCCCAAGCAGGGAAGCGATAGCTGCCATACTCCGAGGGCTGGTACTTGACGATGCTGTATACCAGCAAGGCCTGCAGAGTGGAGACTCCAGCATCATTGGTCCTTGAGTGGGACCCAGAGTATGGCATGGCTTGGGTCTGAGAGAGCCTAGCTGGGACCTACCCCCAAACTGACTTAATATGAAGGTTTGTGACAGCCTAGGTCTGACATATCCTAAATCCTGAGACAGTGTTTCTCCCAGTTACTCCCTCCCTATGACCAGCAAGACAGTACAGAGCCCCCCACCCCACCCCAAGGCCCGAAGAATTAGAAAAGCCTTGTCCACTTGCCAGAATAGACCAGCTCAGAAAACTGGGGCTTGGAGTAGGATGGGTAGGCTAGGTCCTCATGTCTATCCCACAACCCTGTCGGAGGCTCACTCAGGGCTGGGCTAATCCAGCTGGACTAAATGCAGAGGGACCTACACTTGGCCTTGGGGCCCCAGCCAACCACCTTCCCTCCCAGCCCTGGTTACCAAGAGTGTGGCTGGGGACAGAAACAGCCAGCAGGCCCTGAAGTAGAGGCCTGGCTTGAAGCCCAGCATCATGTGGATGTCTCGACAGAACCTCTGAATGCCTGCACAGGGGGGAGAAGGCGTGTCCCCATGACAGGTCCCATTGGTGCCCACGACCCCTCCTCCCTTCCCGCCTGCCCCAGCCCTGCTCCCCGCCCACCCCGGGGCCGGCGGGGCACGGGGGCGGCCGCCC